ACTCTACACGGAAACATCATATAGCCTGACGAGCGATACCATTTAGCTACAGAAGAAGCGTCTGGTTTTCTATAAAATTTATTGAATATTCAAGTCGGTAAATTTGTTAATACTGTTTATTATAAAAAGAGTATTTACTTAAATGTTTGTATTTATAAAAATAATGCATAAACAGAAAATATATACATGTATCATATATAACATCTGTCTGGAAATTATTAATTTGTTTTGTATCCCTTGAAAAACAGTTGTGAAATCTTGATATAACCTAGACAACAATATGAGAGGTTCGAATTGGACAACAATATGAGAGATTTGCCAACATAAATTCCCCTGTGAACATTAAGAGATACTGAGTAAGATTGTATAGTGCCAGTCTTTTTTTTTCAGTGAATATGCATCAAGTTTTGCTTGAAACACGGACATTCATAAGCAAGAACTATTCGAATGATTACAAGGATTTTAATAGGATGATTCATTGAGTTAAACTCAGGTAGAATTTCGATACTGACATTCTAAATTTGGAACTGTCCCACAAGCTGGAAGGTCTTTGACAATTAGAACATCTAAAAATGTTGATTGTAATCAAATGGAAAGTGCAATTAGAAGAACTGGGAATACAACTTATTGTACAGAAAGGCATCCAAATTATCTTAACTGCTTTGTCTTTGAAACGCGGGAATTTTTTTTTCTCATTTTTTTTCAAAATATCACTTCACTCATGACGTCTTTTCTCTTAGAATCTAGATTTAACTCCTTGCAAATTCTGAATTTTTCCAAACTTAAAATCTTTGTTGGAAAGATAAATATTTCAGACCGTGGACGAGATTAATGTGACTGTAGCTGATAGCGATTTCTAAAAAATGTCGTTTAATATTGTAAAGATTCTTAGTTTGGTTTGGTTTGTTTAACGGCATATCAGCACCTTATGGATCATTTAATGCCGAAACTTAATTTTCTTAGGAGCTTTGGTAATTTATTTTTCTAAAATATATTGCTGGTAATTTTTCTTTACTTTTTTCCAATAATGTATTGCTAGTATTTTTTTAGTATGAACATTTATTTCTGGTATTTTTACTACAAAAAAAGTATTTTAAAAATAATATTTTGACCCCAGTTTGGGGGTTCACTCTTTGGCCATAAATGGGACCCTTAACAAGTGATACTATCCACGATTAGGTTGAATGTGGGAACAACAGCAATTAAGAGGTTGTTCCACGCTCCTCAAAAGCTCCCAATCAGAGGTCTTGCTGCCGGATGTAGTTTATCGTCATACCCAGGACGAGTAAAGGTAGTTTCGATAAGTGCGCGAGGTCATAAAATTTATAAAAAAAACAATGCATTTTTTAAAAAAGAGATCCAAAGAGCAGGGTTATTTGAACCGTAGTATAAGCAAAATAAATGTGTATACTTATTATTCATAAATGAATACATTTGGGAAAAAAGAGTATTTACCTAGTTTCTGTCGTTATATTTTCTAAGAAAATAATTGCATCAAAAGTTTGTTATGTTGTACATGATTAAGTAATGTTTGTTTGACATGCGAAACAGAATAATGTCTTGTTCATCAATTTAATGAATATATACTTCGGAGTCGATCAAGAATAAAAATGCTGAAAGATAAAAAAAAGTTCTTTTGTCTGTTATAAAAGATGAGATATTGTTGTGAGTAGTATAGAGTCATGTTGACGTCTGAATACTACCGAAGATGATTCAGAATTCTTAATTATAACTTTTTATGGGCTACAGCAATGATTATTTTTGGAGTCTGCTTTCCTTATAGTCATTGGTTGAAAAATATTGATTTGCTTGTGTTGATTGGTCAGGAGATTTTATTTTTATGATTGGCGTCCAACAATTCTGGCCTGTTTTGATCCCACAAGATTTACAGTATTTTTTTCACTGTTATTTTTTTCAAAACTGTTAGATATTAGACATTTTGCGATTTAAAAATGTAAAATGTGTTTATGGAATATTAGAATCAATATTTTGTTTTATTTAACTGAAAAATTTATCATTCGAATTTACTTGTAATCAAAACTATTATCTCTTTCATTTAAAAATGTTTATATAATAGACCATGGAATATTGGTGGTGCAAAAATAATGTCGTTTTATTCGTTAGTTGAAATCAAAAAACTTTTATCACATAAATGAGTTTAGATAGAATGATAAAATTTGGAAAAAATTGCATAAACGTTGAATAGGAACACATTAAAAAGCAAACGAATTCGAATTTACTTGATCTTAATCAATTTAAAACTATTATCTTTCTTCCTTAGAAAAACTGTAGAAAAATAAATTGAGTGATCAAAAGAATATATGTCAAAAATGTTTATAAACTTTGACAAAATGATAACATTTTTAAAAAATTAGACGTTCTAAAATATAACTGAAAAAAAACATTTAAAAAAAAAACAAAACAAAATACGTCCAAAAAGGAAAGTTGTGAACACAGATATTTTGAACGTATATTTCATTTAGAGAACAATACTGTCCTATTGGCAACCTTCGTTTTGTTACATGCATGTTTCTATTATTATTATTATTATTATTATTTTTTCATGGACACACTACCTACCAAGTCTGCTGCGGAAAGACCTAAGGCAGGTCGTGGTGTGTTGTTATGGCCACATTTCATGTTAATTTTTTTTTTTTTTTTGACGTTAAGTTGAACGTCATAAAAACGACGTTATAGTGTTTTTGCCAATAAGACAATTTTCTGTATGTCTCTTAAGCTGGGGTTTCCAGGGATTCTTTCAGTGTGTTGTTTTGTTCCATTTTTTATAATTAAGTGCACCTATTACCAGAGAAATAATCTATTTAGGTGTAGATAAATGTAGATAAATTTAGGCAAGTTTTTCTTTCTGGGAAAAATTGCATGGATGGTAAACGTTGAATAGGAACACATTGCTTACACATTTTCCAAAAATTGTCCAAACGAATATCGTGACGATTTTTTATATTCATTTTTTCTGAGATTAGATGGTCAATTGTTTCTTGGTATTTGTCACAGAACCTGCATTTTGGATTGAAAAGCTCTTGCTGCAAGAATAACTTCAGTTTCAGATTTTAATCCAGATTTATTCTCAACATTGGGTTTATTTGCACGTTCTGGATGCAGACTCATCTAGGGCTTTTCTTCCATTATATATAGAAAAGTTGTTAGAAAATAAATTGGGATTTACTACAGAATCTACTAAATGATCTTTTAAAATTTTTTTTCTTTCTGTTTTCATGTTGTTTCACTAATTTTATCATCATATTTGTTGTTTCCATGTAAGTTAAAAGCCAATAGTTGTTGTCTTTATCAATTCCTGAATAAGCTTCCTAGAAGACGGTCTACATCAGCCTTTGGATGACAAAATGAGAAACAGCTTTCTTGTTTTCCAAAGATTTGAGTCCAGTTCAAGATGTTGAAATATGGACCACTGGGATGGCAAGGTTATTAATGGCCATAATTCTGTTCTGAGAATTCAATTCGTTTTAAAAGAATTGAACATATTCATTTTCTTAAAAATCATTTCCTTTAATTCTAAATCTTTTAGAAAAAAAACATTTAAAAAAAACAAACAAAATACGTCTTCCTGAAGCAAAAAGGAAAGCTCATTGTCATTCCTAGAAGTCATTATTTTACAGATTATTTTTGAATTATTATATTTCATTTTAGAGATCATCATTCGATTTCTGTCCTACCAATTGGAAAACCCTTCGTTTTGTTACATTTCATTAATTAATTTTTTTTTTTTTCTATGAAGTTTAGCGTTTAGACAAATTATTATTATTATTATTATTCAGGGATTCTTTCAATGTGTTGTTTTGTTATTTTTTATTACTACTATTATTACTATTATTATTTTATCATTATTATTATTTATTCTTGGTATTCCTTATAGGCAAATATAACTTACTTGATGTTGATCATGGGATATATTCTCTTAAATTTAATATGGTCTAAATACAGAATGCTTAACAATATTCAATGCATCAAATATATTAATGTTACTTTGTTTTTATTTTTCTACTCTATGCATTTATAGCGATTTTCAGGTCGAGGACACTGAAATCACTCATGTGCGGAAGTTTAAGTATCTGGGAAGTATTCTGATGGAAGATGGTTGGTGCGACGCTGAGTTCTGAAAATGGATTGGGATGGCCAAAGATGCATTTCTGAAGCTGGGCAGAGTAGATTTCTATGGTGACAAAGAAAAGAGTACTAAGCTGCTACGTGACATCTGTCCTCCTATACGGCAACGAATGTTGGACGGTATCCTCAAGGATGAAGAAGAGACTCGGGGCGGTGGAGATGTGGTTCTACAGAAGGATGATGAGGATATCATGAACCAAGCAACGATGAAGACTTTGAAAGCATGCAAACAAGGAGGAAACTTATGCTTGACATAAGGAAGAGTCTGATAAAGTTTCTGGGACACTTGATGAGAAAAGAGGGCTTGGATACTCACGGGACGAATAGAGGAAAAAAGAGACAGTGGAAAGCAGTGCATGACATACGTGGCAGGCTTGGGGAGGGGAATGGCGGAGCGTGGCCTGGGGGAGTTGGCAGAAACACAAAACCTCGAGGAATCGAGAGAAGTGGAGGGTCATGATCGCTTACGTCTTGAAAAGACACCGCACATAAAAAGAAAAAGAAAGATACATTTATAAACATACGAACAATACAGTTCTATAAGAGCTAATTTTCTACATATGTAAAAGAAAGGTACCCAATCGTCAAAGTCAGCGTTAGTTTATCTTTTGGGTAGATTGTTTTTTTGGTTGATCGATTCGTTTTTTACGGATTATCAATCCTCTGCATGTTATTTAAAGCTAGAAAATATTTTTAGATTATAAGAATTGGGGGGGGGGCGGAGTTTAGTAATACAAGTGAATATAACGAGTGATACGCGTAAGGGAATATAACGAACCTAACGGGAATTGGAACTCGACTTTCCGATTAACAATTTCCAGCGATTATTTATTACACTACCCGCACATCTAAGTTTGCAGCACCTGGAATTCCCAAGTGGTCACCCATTTAAGTACTGATCAAGTTAAACGTTGCTTAACTTTGGTGATCGTAAGGGAGCAGCTGTTTCAACATCATGTGGCCGTAAGCCTGTTTTGGGTAGAACAGAGGAAATACGGAGTGGAGGTGTATAATTCAAGCAAATGAAACTCATTAAGCCACATGTTCGGTATGAGATGCCTATGATCCAATGTGACTTTTCATGCACTTCCCAATGTGTTAGACTGAGCTCAGGTATGAAGTGTAAATTCTGATCAATAACCATGTGCACATAAAACGGCAAAAGCTATTGTGCATTCGATTCGCATATAGAGCTTAACGAGATCATAACTATTTAGAAAGGAGTCATGAAAATACGGACATTGCATGGACCGGTAGATTCTGATGAATAAAATCAACACTTTTAGCTTCTCATTTCGTTCATTTTGCCGGAGATGAAAAATCGGCTTCTATAATTCAGGCAAGTGCAAATGAAGTAAACATCCTCAAGTCGTTGATTCATCGATACTTTAAGAAAGAAAAACATTCTCCTGTTACACATCCAAGAAAAAAAGTGTAAAAACAAGGTTTAATAAACTCTTCCCTTTTTATTTGACTGTTTATTTAAAACTAAATGAAGAGAAAATTTTGCGCATATGCATATGAGCACACACGCACGTTCGTACACACACGCACGAACAGACACATATACGCACACACATACATACACACACACACATATATATAAGTATTTTATAGAACTAAGTAAATCTGAGATATTGCTGACTATCAAGAATATTAATGGTTATATTAATATGAGAATTCACATATTGAAATATTAAAGCCTAATTTTCTAAAATGATAAAGAACAAATAAAATAACTAAATGTTACCTTAAATTAAAATAATCTCTTGTTCACATAAAATGAAAATACATAAACAACACTAGTACGTCGTGAGTCAATTTTAATCAAACATGTATTAAAGTGAACTTGTCAAAATTTCTGTAATGAACACACACAAATATATATATATATAATATATATATATATATATATATATATATATATATATATATATATTGGGTGAGGCAAAAGTCACGCACCATAGGGGGTAATGGATAAGTGGAAGAGATCTTGCTGAGTAGTCACAGAGGTCACCATTTGAAATGTTGTTTATCAGACGCGCCCAAGAAATGCTGTAGAATTTAAAGAAAAAATGTCAAAAACAAGTTTTCCTATTTTATCAGTTCAATCTATATATATATATATATATATATATATATATATATATATATATATATATATATATATTGATAATATAAGTGGTCAAGTGGTCAATATATATATATATATATATATTTCAAGAGGAAGGAAATAATGCAGGTAGAGCTCAGAGCAAGAATATAATATAAAAGGCACGAACACTAATATTTCATGGTTATAATTTATTTCATTGGTTTCGTTATAACGACCCAACTCCTCAGATCTACAAATTCAAATTTTATAATTTTTATGTCTAAGGTGTTGGGTCGTTATTACGAACCCAATGAAATAAATATATACGCCCCCGAAAAATTAATTTCGGTCGAGCACTCTGGTGTAAAAGTGTAAACAGTGACTACTATTGCTGATAATACAAAAAATTTCTATGAATTGAGCTGTCTCGGTCTCTGGAGTGTTTATTCAAAGAATTCGACTTCCTTCCAACCCGGCGCTGATAGCTCAGCGGTAAAATCTGACTAATTTGAATCTGTCGGGTTTTGATCCCGGCTTGAGGCAATCGGATGTCTAGCCACACTGATGAGCTGTAATACAGCGAAACAATCTGTCTTTAAATGATTAAATATAGATAGATAGAGAGAGAGATAGATAGAGAGGGAGAGAGAGAGAGAGAGTTTTAAGTTATGCTATATTTCGGGATAAAAGGAAATATAAGTTTGGTCACGGAAGACAGCACAAAGTGGTGATCTTCTGTTTCATGCATGATCGCGATATTCTGGCCCGAAGATTGTGTCCAAACATGAAATTGACTGTTTCTGTTTCATGTTTGTTTTGAGCTCAGTGGCATCCACATACAACTGTTAGAAATATAAATAGAATAACAAATCATTTTGGTACAAATGCTTTTAGATGCAGTTATCAGAAAAGATGACTATAGGAATATTATATTTGAATATTCTTGTTTTCATCGAAAATAATCTGCTTTAAACATTTGTAATTTTCTGTTCATTTTGTTGCTTTTCATCGTTGGAAATTTCAATTAAATTAAAACGAACACATTAAAGTTCTTATGTATACAGATATGTGTATGTGTGTATGTATGGGTTAATATATGTATGCGTATATAGGTATGTGTGTAAGCGGGTATGTGTGTATGTATGTGTGATGTATGACATGATTCATTCCATTGTGTGTTTTGGTATTACTTACAGATTATGAGAATCTGTTATTTAGATAATTTATTCAAACTTTAAATTGTCTTGTCCTTATAGCCCCTATCAGTTAATAATATAGTCTACTAGCAGGAACCTAAATTCATTTACATACAACTAAAGCTTTTGGCCATAAATAAACTCGCACTCCAGCCAATCTTTTTGTCATCAACCCAAACTCTTTATTAAAACGAGGCGTCCTCTTAAGTAGCCCCGTACGTTCTCACCGAGTGTTATCCAAGCTAAATTCAAAACCCATATTCCAAGACAGCCAGTCTAGGGCTTGAGGAGGACTGGCATATGGTTGTGCTGGTCTGAAATAGACTATACTCACATGAGGCAATTTTGGACTTTTTGCTGTATAATATATATATATATATATATATATATATATATATATATATATATATATTAATTATTCGGTGATAACAGGTATATTCAAGTACATGTTAATATAAATATTGTGCAGTTTTATATATGGCAATTATATTGTATACTAGCAGTAGAGCCTGGCATTGCCAGGGGATGTAACAGTAAGAGATAGATCAAGTATCGACCATCATGAAGACTGAAAAATAAAATTGACAAAGATTATTGTTTAAGGTTGACGGACACGCATGTCTTAATTAGTTTTTTTTTTTTTTTTTTTACGAATTGGTCAAACCCAAACTCAAACAAAAACATTGTTTTTTTCAATCGTTATGAGTCTATCGATTGAATAGAATTTTATTATAAACAATTGTCTTGTAAATGGAATTTTTAAAACATTCTGAATGTAAAAATAAAGAAAAAAAAGTGTGCAAGACAATAAGAAACACTCCCTGCCAAAAAAAAGTGAAGTTTTGTTGAAATTTTGTTAAAAGATCCCATATTAAACGAACACAAAACACACACACACACACACCACACACACACACACACACACACACACACACACAAAACAACCTGGATTTTATAAGTATAACTCGAATTGAGTTGTCTCCCTTCCATTCTGACGACAAAATCGTGTTTTATCGTGTTTTCAAATTGATTTCGTGCAAAAACAATTGTGTTTTTCCGATTTTTGGCGCTGTCAGAACCACCACAAGGTAATTTTACGCAGTCTTGTGAAGTTTTGTTGAAATCGGTTGAAAAATTTAGGAAATCCGATCCAATATATAAACGTACACACACACACACACACACACACACACACAATCTGCGTTTTATAATAAGTAAGATTTCAAGAACGTTTTCCAGTAAACCCATACGAACATGTGTGTGTGCGTGTGCGTGCGTGTGTCGGTGTCTACATGTTTATGTAATTGTATTCGTTCTTTTGGATATTGACGTGTTGTTAATATTTTTGGTAAATGTTTCTTTCCAAATCAATCATTTTAAAAGTAATCGAAAGAATGGTGCTAAGGAAAATATATGTGCATATTTCATATTTTTATTTTTACAAGTAAACTGAACTGTTCTAATGAATTTTCTGGGATCATGCATTATTGCCTTTCTTTTCTGAATAATAATTTCGTTTGTTGTACTGCATCCAAATATCAGATTCTTATATGAAATATTTTTGTTATTTGTGTTTTGCTTAATATATATATATTGTATTTTAGATTCAATTAAAATGCTAATATATAGAGCCAGTGGAAAAGAAACAATGTCAGATACCAATTGAAACTAATTCGTTGCATATAATATTTCAGCAGGGATTTTCCAAAGGTTTCAAGGATAACCGAAGATATAAATTCCGAGCAAATTTGAATCTAGTTCCTTCCATTGTTGTCTAAGCACCATTATTAATTCCAGTCTGACTTCCGGTTGGAGAACGTGATGTTTGTTTACCCCCACAACAAGCATTGTGTTAAAAAGAATTGAATGTATTAGTATCTCTATCTTTTCAATTACTTTCACATTTACATTGTAAATATGTGGTCGCAAATACTCCTAGTAACCATAGTATTGAGCTCACTAGAGTGTTCTATGTCGTTGCATTGTCTCGCTTATCATCCGCCATCGATCAATGCATATCAAGTCAATCTATTGGTGCTTGCCTATCTATGCAATTGAAGAGATGTGCAAGTTGCAGTTTAATGAGGTTTGCACCTCTATGTGATTAAAAGTTTGTCTGATTCCATACCCATTTGACCTATCTGACTAGGTTGATCCTGCCAGGAGATAAACTTCCCCCAACATAATTCTCAAAAGGTCACTTCACCACATCAATGTACTTAATCATGGATGTAAATATCCAGTGGAAAGATGTTACTTTACAAATTGTGCATCGTTTGGTAAAATAAGAGCTTTTTCTGAGTTTGTCGTCAAATTCCTAGAACAGTGAATCTTCCCTGACCCTGACTATAATAAGTATATGCTTAAGTTTATGTTTAGAATATTTAAAAGGATGTAATGATCACTAATTTAATAATAGATTACAACCCCCTTTACATTTCCCCGGCTTGATATTTAGAACAAACCGTAAACATAAAAAATTGTAGTAATAGGCTTCCAACGTCAGGTTTTAGATTTTACTGTTCGTGGTCTCCGGTTATTTTATGTAAGATTCAAATTAATTACTTAGTCATTTTAAACTTAAATTAAATTCTCTTGTTAAAGAAATAGTGATTGCTTCACCTATTGATTAAATTAAAATCTTTAGTTTAAATTTAACCCAGAGTTTGTTTATC